TTGAAATAACTGCTCAAAAGCAAGCAAAACTATTGTTTGCCCGGCTTTTGTCCAAACTCAAATCTCAATTAAATTTCCTATTGATACATGTCATGGAAAGTTTACAGAATGACGACCTTTGACATCAATTAGCGGAGATAAGATWTAGCAAATACAGGATCAATCAACTGTATAAATGCTATTGGTCAAAAGTAACAACAGTAGTTGAGTATTTAAGTAGATTGTATAATTTTGACTACAGTTGTCTAAAGAGACTTAACCTTTATAGAAAACTGTGTATGATTGGTACATTTAGACAACAGTTGTGCTACTGATCTATGATTGGTCAGTTTTAACAACGTTGTCTATTCCATTTTGTTTTGGCACTTTCCAGTTTCTTTTGGGGAAATGTTATTGATAATATTAGAACAATTAATAACAAGGAAAAAATCCACTGAAGAGCGAAATAACGATTTGCGGGAAATCGATTTGCGAAGATGAAAAGCAATTTAGGCCCATCTTAAAAGTGATATTAGAAAGAAGGATTTTACTTTAATATTTCGACATCAACTTTATTGGAAATACTTCAATAATATGGACCAATATGGGAAAAAGCAGGGATCTATGCGAAGTTCTTTTTTCGACTAAAAGCGTGGACATTTCGAAACCAAGACCATGCTAGCAGTTAGATTGAGAGAAATTAAAAACAAAGAATCTACAGTCTTGAATGACTTAATAAATTGATGAAACCTATGCTTGAAACAAGTATGGCTCTGTTGAAGATGACCTTTGAACGATAATTTATCGGAAGTTAGGTAAAAAATATATTTTTGTATACAGTTTTCTGTGATTATGTGAAGTTCGAGTAGTCCGGGTTCAAACATCGATTATTGAAACATTGTTGATTATTGTAAGCTTATGTATACTACTTTTTGCCGAGAAGCTTTGAGTTTACTTTTAATCAATTGACGTTTATAGATTATAATTTTAAACTTCATCCAACGGAACAAAGTCTACCGAAGTCAATATTAGTACGAACTAAATTCTCATAAACATACTCTTTATAATATTTGTTCGCATGTCAACAAAACTGTTGTAGCTCACATTCCTTAGAACCACGTCCCTGTTAGAACAAAGCATCTACCTTTGAAATAGCAGTACTAGATAATCATTTTCAGCTTCTATATTGCTATTGGAGCTCCGCTATTAGGTGTTACCTAATTTTTATATTATATAAAATGTCAATAACATTTCTAAAATCCTTCCCAGGAGTGGTACATTGTTATGCAAATGACTTTGTTGTTGCCTTGATAAGGTTTTACCTGGTCTTCTTGATGACACATCAGATTTGTACAGTAAATACTAAAGTCCAGAAGTTTTTGCACTGAGACACCAAGAGTGAGCAAGACACTCATATCATCTACTAGTAAAAGGCACGGTGCACTTGAGTTTTGAACAAACATCTTAGCTTGGTTGTATAACATTTGAAGAGAAAATGTTGAATCTCTGAAAAGTATGTAAAAAGGAGTTAGATCACTTCAAATATGTTTAGTTGAGCTGCCTGTTATATGGGAATTACAATCTCAAACCATACAACATGAACACAAGTGTTGTAGGTAATATATACAATATTCGCGTCCGATCTGTATTGGAAATACAATGGCAAGCCGAAGGCAATACAGGCAATACAGATCGGACGCGAATATTGTATATGACTTATGATATCAATCATTGAGCACCTAAAGTTATTACATATGTATAGTTATATGTACACCTACTTGCAGAAACGTTGTCATAGAAAATAGAACATTCGAATTTAGTAAAAAGGGATTAATTAAAACAAGACAAAAGAAAGCGTTCAGCCTCAGTGATATTCTTTGTCTTTTTAATGTATTCCTTTTTACTAAAATACAAATGTCCTATTTTTGATGACAATGTTTTTGCAAGTAGGTGTATGTATAAAAATACAGAATACTAATAGATCTATTAGCTAAGTATTCTGTATTTTTTCTAACATACTAATAGATCTCATTCTCTATTGTTATATTATTCATCAACCCCACCCTTTCCCTGCTCTGAACTCAAGACCTCCCCACGCTTTAAGTTTGTATTGGTGAATACAAGGGTAGAGTCATCACACTTGTACCGTGAAATATGATCAAAATAGACAGTAAATATTAGTGTCTATTTATTGACTAATAGTAGATATTACTGAACCAGAACACAGTTTATGAAAACAAAAGGCAATACACAAGAGACTTGACAACTGCCATCTTTATTTCATGTACAATCAAGACAAAAGACACATCTAAAACTAAAATAACCACACAGTACGCAAGGAAATGCGTTTCACGAATCTTTATTTATTTGCGCTGCTGTGGAATCAAGACACAAGACACATCTAAAGCTAAAATAACCACAAAAGACGCAATAAAACGTGTTTGGAGTCTTTATTGTCTGCGCCGCAGCAAAATTATGACAGAAGACATTTTAAAAATTGAAAATACTGTAACAATAGCAAACCCAGTACACAAATGAACGTGTTATCTAACGAGTTTATTATAAGAGCCTAACCTAAAAATCAAGACAAGACGCACTGAAATGACCCGCAAGAATCTATAAAAGCAACGTGGTTTCGAACGAATTCTATCGCTCAAAGCTGAGTCTTGACTAGTCAATATAATTAAGCGATTTGACAACAACCAGCGGCGACGTTTTAAATTTATCCTTTGCTTGAAGCTCAGAATAAAACACAAGGAATTTTATTAATCAATTCGGAAATGTTTGTGAGATACGTACCTTCCTAGCATGGGACAATAGTTACCAAATCATTATTTCCAGCATGCAGCACTCGAAACAGTTATAAAGTTAGTTACTCAGCTATCTATTTCACTTTCACCCTATAATCAATAATAGGGCAATTCTTTTTATGTCCTTTCAATTAACTCGATTTCCATGAAGCCTATATTTAACACAAGTTCTAGCCCTTCCCGACATCTTTCCTCTGGGTTTAACAAAGAAGTAAACTAGCTCTTTATTTCTTTCCTTGTGGGTGGGACATTTTTTAACAAATTCCTCCTTCTTCATTAGGTAGCTTTTAATAACGTTGTTTGGCTTCCAAGTCTCTTGTGTATTACCTTTTGTTTTTAAGAATTGTTTTGGTTCAGTGATATCTACTATTTCATACAA